GAAGAATAAATGGTGGGAAGACGAGGCTAAGGAGATTCAACGTCTCGCTGACATCCACAATATGCATGGTTTCTTCAGTGCCAGCGAAGCCATCTCTGACTGAGCACTTGGGAACCCCAATACCCTTGCATCATAAGGATGGAGGAGACCTGATCACGGGAAGGGCAGCCATCAATGACCATTGGAAGGAGCATTTTGAAGACCACCTCAGTCGAGACTTTGCTGTTGACGAGAGTGTTCTCAGCTCTGTTCTGCAACACCTGGTCAGAGATGATCTTGGAATCCCTGCAACCCTTGACAAAGTGAGGAAAGTCGTCAAGCAGCTGAACAAGGCATCTGGAGCAGATAGAATCCCTGCTGAAATCTTCAAATGGAGGAGAGGAGCTCACATCACAGCTTCATGCCGTCCTCTTAAGGATCTGGAATGATGAGGAAATCCCAGATGACCTCAGGGATGCTATGATTGTGACAGTCGTCAAGAAAGGAGACAAGTCTGACTGTGGAAACTACAGAGGGGATCACCTTGGCGGGGTCCACCACAGAAAAGATCATTGTGAAAACCCTCCTGAACTCTTCCTCTACTTGCTGAAAAGTACCTTCCAGAAGCTCAGCGTGAGTTTAGGGTATCAAGAGGAACAACTGACATGATCGTCACAGCTTGCCATCTGCAAGAGTAATTCTGGGAACAACATAAGCTTCTGTATTTGGCCTTCTTTGACCTCACAAAAGCTTTCAACTCTGTCAACTGAGAAGTGTTGTGGATGATCCCTCTGAGGTATGGATGCCCACTGAAATTTGTCACCGTTCTCTGCCTGCTCCATGACAGTATGCAAGTGGAGGTTTTCAGTAATGGATCTATCACAGATCCCTTTGAAGGTGAAATGGGAGTTAAGCAAGGCTGCATCATCACTCCAACACTCTCTTCAATATTCCTTGCCACGATGCTATATTTGACCACCAACAAAACTTTTAGCCAGAGTGGAGCTAAACTACCGAATGGATGGTAAGCTGCTTAACCTCAGCCAACTCTGAGCCAAAACCAAGACCACCCCAACCTCAATCATTGAGCTCCAATATGCTGATGATGGTGTGTGGTCACTCGGAAATAGACCTTCCGGCAGTCGTCAACATCGTTACCGAGGCATACAAGAAAACGTGACTGATGCCCAACATTCAGAAGACCAAGATCCTCTACCAGTAGGCTCTTAATGAACAGTCCCCAGCTCCGATAATCCAGATCCATGGTGAGACGCTAGAGAACACTAAGTGTTTCCTATACCTCAGAAACCATCTCTCGCGGAAAGCTGACGTCAACCAAGAAATCCAACGTCGCCTCAAATGTGCAAGTGTAGCCTTTGGATGCCTGAAGAAACGGGTGTTCAAAGATCATGACATTGGATCCAAAACCAAGCCCGTGGTTTATCAAGCAGTCATGATCCCTACCTTGTATGGAGCTGAGACATGGACAGCATACAGGAAACATCTAAAGTTGCTGGAGAAATACTATCAACGCTGCCTGCGCAAGATCCTCTGAATCCAGTGAGAAGACAGATTCACCAACATTAGCATCCTCCTACAAGCAAACAACATGAGTATTGAAGCGATGATTATCCAATATCAACTTCGTTGGGCTGGCTGTGTCATCTGGATGTCCAGATTCCCAAAGCAAGTTTTATTTTCCCAGCTCAGCCAAGGCTTATACTTAAGAGGAGAACAGAGAAAGCACTTCAGGGCTGTCCTCAAGGCCAACTTAAAAAAATGCAACATTGATGTCAGCTCTTGGGAGACTGTCACCCAGGACTGCCCCCAATGGAGGAAGAATCTGTTGCAGGGAACTCAGTACTTTGAAACCTCATGACGACAACAGGAGATAGAAAAGCGGGAGTGGCAGAAACAGCATGCCGCAGACTAAATGAAGAATCCAGCGCCACCTGCCCCACATGGAAACACATGTCCTAGCTGCAGCAGAGTCCTTTGATCCCAGATCAGCCTCATTAGCCATCTTCCAACACACAGATAAGACAATCATGAAAGAAGAGCACTCTTGACTGCAAGGGATTGTCAAAACTTACATTGTTATTATTTGTATAAAAAAACTGAGATTGTGTTTCTCTTTAGCTTCCTATTATAAGAAAATTGTAATCTAGGCCTGTTCAGAAAAAGTTATTAATTGTGGAAATCTAGATCAATTCCAGTTAGGGCTGCTGTATTTGGTCTCAACACTGTTTTAAAGCAAAAGGCAAGAGAGCTTTAGGGACCAAACTTAGAGAGGTCCCTCCCTCAAAACATGTTGTGCAAACCCTATTGATAAAAGTTTCCATACCTTTTTTTTTTTTTAACATGGAACAGGTTTGCACAAGATCAAAACCTTCATGTTCAGTTGGATAAACGAGTGCAGATTGGTTCACATATGTGAGCTTTATCGTAAATATAGTTCTCAAGTTCATGGTTCACCATTGAGATCACAAATTATTTATTCTCTCTTGATGAGGGAAGATGCTATGGGGGATATATTTTCAACAATGGAGCAAAACACTTAACTTTATCCTTTGGCAGTGATAGTATGCAAATATAAGCTAATCATTTCAAATTATTTAATAAACGACTTAAAGCAAAGGTAAGAACAGGCTTGCAATACAAAGCATTTATTGCTGCGGTTCAGTAGCCATTTTGTTTTGCATTTAGAGAACGCTTTCGATCCTCCTCCTTGAAACTGACTTTCTTCCCTTAATTGGCACTTTGAAAAAGGAGGGAAAGTCCGATATTACTTCCCAGATATATGTAATGGAAAAAAGGAACGCTGCCAACTTTACTTTCTGGTTTTGTTTCCATTACATTAGGATTATGGTAAGTGATAGAAGCTTAGAGATCATAAAACATTCATTAAAATAATGGCATTATCTTGTTAAGAGAAATTACTATTATTGCTCTAAGAGCACATTTCTTCCACTCTAGGTCTTGTGTCGTCAGTGTTTCCATAATCATTCTTTGTGCTGGAGACTTTACTAATCTGGGTTAAAAAATTCTCTGTAAACTTTATCTAAACACCTAAATCAGTCTTTGGCAAATAAGACGTTGTCTAGCAGTAGGTGACTTCTTTGGAAAGTTGCTAGAGCAGTGGTTCTCAACCTTTATATACTCAAGGCACCCCTTGGAAAATGCCAGCTGTTAGCTTTCACTTCTTTTTTTTCTTTTTGTTTATGGAAAAATAACGGCAATTTTTTCTGTTGCAACAAACTCAAGAAGAGCACAAAAGGTCAGAAATGCTTTTGACACTGGATTCTTACTTGAAATTTCTGGATTTATCTTGTGAATCGTGTGGGTGCACACCTAGTATTGCTCAACCATGGCACCCTGGTTGAGGATCTCTGTGCTAAAGGAAAATGTGACTGTACAAATTAAGCCCTGCAAGCAAGTGCAATTTGGACATTGACTGAGCCATAGAAGTGCTGAAAACCAGTTCAGCTTTAGTTTAACATGTATCTGCAGTTTCCAGTTTTGCCACTTGTTTGCCTGTTGGTTGTGGACAAGATTACTCCCTGTGCAAACTGTAGGGAATTATTTGCTAATATGTTGTATAGGAAGGTGATTCGTTTTGCATATTGGGTGTATTTCATTTTTCTTTACTTTGCGGTGTTTTCAAATATTCATATCATTTATTGTTTGAGTTTAGGTTCAAAATAAAAACATCTTTCTCTTACCATAATTGAAAAGATTATCCATCATACCTGTCTCTGACATTTCCACTCTGGTTTTAAGAAAAAGAATCGGGAAGTGATTCCTGCCATTTTATAAGTCAGTGGTGCTCAACTTTCCAGCCTCGTGTTGGATAAGAAGTACAGGGCTGGCTCACTCATGGGCTAGATCCCATGTGCTGGCCTGATCCTGTGTGTTGCATCTGGCTGCAGACCAGTGATCTAGTGCACAGGGCCACAATTTGGCAGCAGGGGAATAGCAACTAATTTTGCCACTCCCCCTCTAGCAAATTACCAGGTCCATGGGGAGCCCCGGGGGCTGGATGACATGGCTCTGCAGGCCAGTGGTTGAGTATCACCTCTTATAAGCCTCTCTTCCATTATGTCATTGCCTTTTAACTTTGGAAAGGTCTGTTTTTTCTGTGGTCAGAAAATAGCTAACTAAACTCTGTATGCAGCAGCAAAGCTCTGACTGAGCAAAAGCATCAAAACAAAATTCACTTTGAAGTGTGTTTTGTGCACCTTATGTGCACCTTTTGTGCATCAGCCCATTGCACAGTTTAAGCTTGTGATGCTGAACAAAGAGGCTTAAGCAGATCTGCACAAGGAGGTTGGATCAATGTAAATTAAATCATGATTCGGTTAAATTAGTTCAGTGACTCTACTGTAGGCTTACAAATGGCTTCAAATGAACAGTGTTTAGAACCGGGCTATTCACTGGTTTTTAGCTTTCTTCCTTATGGTATGGTTTGCTTACATAAAGGACTCTGACTCTATGATGGCTCATCTCCTAAAACTATGTTCATTCTTCCTTTTTTTGGTTGTCTGTTAAAAGATGATCTGCGATGTTTAAAACATTCAGCCCCCCCCCCCCCCCCTTTTTTTTTTTATTTCTTGATAACACAGAAAGGGCTTTGACACCATTAGAAATTCAGTCTAGCCAAGGAAATCCTTATGGTCATGGCATTGAACCATCATGATTTACCTAATTAGCAGATATATGGCTACTTGCACTGGCAGCCATAGAAATAGAATAGTACTAAGAGCCTACACAAGCAGTCTACCTGAGGTGTTGTCTATATTTTCACTCCTTAGTCATCCTCAGGAACTGAAGCACTTTAGTGTATGAACACAGTATAATTCCATTTCTGCTGTAGAAGCTGCAGCTTCTGACTTGTAATAAAAAGAGAAATTTATACAGGGCAATAGAAAGAGGTAAATGACAATGGGAGGATTTTACTGTATCTAAAATGTGATTAAGATCTTGCAGAGTTATATCGTGTTCTTTTCTCTTTGTCATTAAAGTGTGGTGTTCCCTTTCAAGAAGATGATGTGATTCTACTTAATGGCAATAAAGATGACGTGGAAAATCTGAAGAAGAGAATGGAGGATAGAAGACTTAAAAATAAATTGGGAAAGGTAATGTTTCTATGTAGATTTAAAAAATGCAAGAATATTATAAAACTTATTATTATCTGTAATGAAACCTTCTATGAATGTATTTTGTGGCTGTGAGTTCAACTCCTAATTATGGGATTCTTCAGAGAGTCTCTGTGTTAAACTACCCTGATTTAGTATTTGTTGATAAATCTGTGTAGTTTACCTAGGAGACACAGACAAAAATATTTTAGTCTTAACCATGACAAAATATTTTTAAGTGTTAGTTTTTACTTCATACAACTGTAAACCTAAATGGAACTTGGACTTCTGACATTTTTGTAATTTGGACCCAAAAGTTTGGGTGGGGGAATGGCAAGTGATAGGAAATAGCAAACCCTTTCCATTTTTGGCTGTAGGGTTCATTTAGGTTTTATGCATGCTTGATTTTTTTGAAAGCATCAGTTTTGAGAACTGATAAAGCCCCCTCTTGGTGGTACACACCTTTTCATTTCTTTAAGAAGCCTAACACTGGTATTCATAAAAGTATTAGTAGCTGTGGCAGCACACTTAAGAACGAAAACTTCATCATCTCCTTATCTGGATCACTAGGTGATAGAAAGGAACCTTAATAAGCCATCCTGTACTTATTTAGTCTGTTCAGCATTTGGAAATAGGTCCTATTATAATAGGTACTCTCTAGTTAGAATGTGACTGGCCCTGTTGGGCTTCAATGTATATACAAATCCAGCACAGTTCAAGAGATTTCCATTTGGTCAAATACAAGCCCCAAAATAGAAAGATCTTTCAGCGATGGAACTGCCAGCATCTTCCATAAATACCCCATGCTCCACTCTGCACCATTACCTCTGTTCTCCTACCAAGTCCAACTCCCTCATTCTGTTCCATGAAACAGGAACTTTGAGTTATAATGTGTGTAACAAATCTAAATTCCTGTTTCCCTTTCTTATCTACTTTTGCATTCTCTGGCAATTATTTATTTTTAAGCTGTTTATTTAAAAATAATAAACATCTTAAAAATAAGCTTCCTGTTGTTTATTTCCATTTTGAGCTTTGTTTCCTGTTCAAAACCCAAACTAAAATTATACATCTGTCTGAATATGGAATTAATTCTCCAAAACTAGGTAATAGAAATGTTTCCCCAATGCTGTTCTGCTAAGCTAAGTACAGGAAGTCAAAAAGCCCAAAGCTGAACCGGTTCAGTCTTTGCAGGTTAATCTAAGCTGCCTAGATTCAACCAATAAGCAAGTGAACAGACATTCATTTTTGTTTCCAAAAAAGCAGCCACATGCCTGCAGTGGCCCAGGTCAGTAGCCAGGGCGGGCATTAGAGCATGCCTCCCTGCTCAGCTGGAGCAGACAGCTTGGGCCAAGGCTAGCCTGCCCACCCTGAAAAAGGGGTTTTGTGAGGGAGATGGAAAGCATCGTGGGATGCTGGGGGACTGTGAGTTAGCTTGAATCTCGAGGGGATCTGGGAGAGAAATTCAATAAACCAATTTAATCATAAATCGGTTGAGTCTGCTACTACCTTCATCCAGGTTTATCTTAAACCAATTTTGACCATTTTAAAAGTGGTTTATGTGCACTGAACTTCTGTTGTGTTACAGATTTGAACTGGTTTCCAATCACTTGTAGCTGTTTACGTGTGAAACCTGTCTTAAGTGACCACTTAGAGATGAATGAGAAATGTATTGGGTTTGTGCTTTAGGGTTCCCTTATAATAAACATTTAATGCAGGTGATTGCCAAGTAAGGTTCTACACCAGGGGCAAGTAATTATTTCTGGTGGAGGGCCGCTTAACAAGTTTTGGTGAGGTGCTGAGGGCCACAAGGGTAGCCCTGCCCCTTGACAAGTGCCCCACCCCCTTGTCACCATCTTGTAACCTGAAGTCCTGACCCCTAACCTTTGCATTTGTGAGTCTCTCCCCTTGCCCAGGAAGTACTCCTTTTGGGGTGGGGGGCAGTTTGCTTGTATATTGTCGGGGTGCAGCGGGTGTGGTTGGGGGGATGTGTGGGGTGTGGATATGGTGCAGAGGCAGTGTGTGGGGGCATAGGAGGGGTGTATGGGGGTGTGTATGGGGGTATGTGGTTGAGGTGTGGGGTGTGTGGGTGTATGTATGTGGGGTGGGTATGGTGGGGGTCAGGGTGTGGGTTTACATTTGTGGGGTGTGTGGCTGGAGTGCATCAGACAGTGTTGTGTGTGGGGGTATGGAGGGGGCTTGGGGGTGTTAGGGGGTGTGGGTACATGTGGGGTGTGGGTGGGTTGGGTGTGCACATGTGGGGGCTTTCTCCCTGCCTGCCCTTTGTGATGGGGCTGAGCCTAGCCCTCTGTGGGCAGGGGGATGGGGATGGGGAAGGGGAAGGGACTTGGCGCTGCCTGCCTGGCTTGCAGCATCCTGCAAAGGGCAGGAAAGCAGCTGCCGCCACTGGCAGCAACAGAAACCCCTGTGAGATGGGAGAGGGGCAGACAGCTGAGCCTGGCATCACCAGCTCTCTTAGTCTCTGTCCCATACCTTCTGCTGCTGTTGCTCCTCTATCACCTGCCTGTGTGGTGGGGTTGCACCAAGTGCATGCAGGCTCCTGCTACTGTTGCTCCCCCTCCTGTCTGTCCCTGCCTGCCTGGTGGGGCTTTGTGAGCAGTCGAGCTCCTCCACTCCCCCCCCTGCCCCACATGAGCAGGATCAGAGTGAACTGGAGGCAGAGCTCACCCTGCTCCATCAACGCTGCAGCTTGCCCTTCCTGCCTGCCCAGAGCGCTGCAGCAGGGACAGCTTCTGGGCTCCCTCAGCTTCCAGCAACTCCTCCTGTCCCTGCTGGAGTGCTCCGGGCAGCAGGTACGTACACACATACACATGTGTACGTGTATACATACACACGCTATATAAAAAACTAAGAATTTATTTTTGAGTTATTATGCAATCACCTGTACATACACTATACAAATCATGACAAAAATATTTTTTGTAATAAAATTAAAATATGTTACGGTAGGTGTTTGACTTTTAGTGTATGATTCAGTTTTTTTCTGGTTCTAAGATAGCAACTTCCCCCTCCCAAAAGGAGTATTTCTGGGGTGCAAAAGGAGGGACTTCTGGTGGCAAAGGTCAGGGGTTGTGGGTGGGATTTCTGGTCCCAAAATGGCAACCAGGATGCGGGGCACCTGTCAAGGGACGGGGCCACCTATGCAGCCCTTGATCGCTCACCAAACCTTGTTAAGCAGTCCTCTGCCGAAAATAATTGCCTGCCCCTGGTGCACATGGTTCTGGGTAAAGCTTTTCTATCACGAGAACAAAACCTAGGTTATTTGAATGTGTATGCAGCCTTGGTGTGTTGTTTTTTTCCCCTTGCTCTCTCCCCAAGCGCTGTGAACAGTTGGTCACCATCCTCTTTATAACAACCTCTATGTACTGGAAGACTTAATGGTGCTTCCCCCTTACCTTGACTAAATAAACCAAACTGCTTCATGTTCTAGCAAAAATAATAATTTATTAGAAGTGCCTGATATAAATAGTGTATGCTATGCTGAAAGCTGTTCTCAGTCCAAAAAGCTAGTAATTGATGATTGCCCTATAGCAACTAGATTATCATTTGCCCTCCCAACTTGAATGATCAGAACTCGTATATAAATCTGGCATCCATACAATATTGTTTTCTTACCTAGTTTCAGGAACAAGAAGTTTCTGGTCACATTAGCTCCTTAAAAAAAAAAAAAATAAAGTTGTAAAGTCTTGGTTGCTGTTAAGCGACCAGTTGTCAGATTTGGTGCACAGAGCATCAAAATGAATGTTTTGCTTGCTTCCTTACATACTCTCTCTGTTTTGAAAGGAGACAAACCATAGAAACATACACAGATGTACGTTTCGGTGTCATCCCTGTCTATGCTAGCAAAGATGGAAGCACAGAGAAGAGATTAGTATTTGCACATGCATAACAGCAAATGATCACGAGAAATCTGCCTGGTTTTATTATGGTAGCCTTTTACCACCACCTTCTGGATGAGATCTAGAGCAGCATCTACTATGTTACTTGCTTTCCCCTAACATTGTCTCCTGTCTTTGTAGACTCCACAGCATATTCTAAATGTATGTTCAGTTTTTCCTTCTTTGGATTTAGTTTAGTCATTCTTTGCAACATGTGTAAAATTCTTCTGAGACGTTACTAAGTCAGTATTTGTATAACGTTTATACAACAAATACTGCTATAGTTTGCAGGGTGGGGTTTAATATAGGATAGGTCTGGGGGCGGGAGGTACACGCACAAGTAGACTTTTAACTTCTTTTTTTTTTTTGTATGTTGTGTGCTTTTTGTTAGCTTGGTTCATTTTAAAGAAGAAACCAATCAAGCCAAAAATTGATTTTAGGCAGCTTAGTTTCAGCCTGTGCATTGTTTCGCCAAGGCATCTGTGAGGTCACCAAAGAGCATTATTGTTTCCAGTTTGAAAGGGTATGTAAAGCTTAAAGCAACTGTACGGAAAGATCAGTTATTTTATAAAATGCACAAGCGTATCAAATAGAATTATGTCTCTAAAACACAAAATTGACATTAAGTAACACATGCAGCTTTTTAAAATAGGTTCTCAGCTTTTTGCTTATATTGTTTCAGAAATCAAAGAAATGCAAGGCAGCAGAATCAGTTTCTCAACAGGACGCCACTGAAGGTAATGTTCTCACAACTTCAGGTTGGCTTTACCATTTGAGTTATGAAACAAGTTAATGATTCAGTTGGGGGTTTTTTCTTTCTTTTGCAGGTTCTCCTGGACCGTCCAAAGTAAAGAATGTAAATGATGACCTGAACTCTAGTTCTGGAGAAAAGAAACAGATTATATTCACCAAAGGCACAGGTCAGTGTGCATGTGTCCTAGTGTAACTGAACAATTTTGTAAATTCCTCCACTTTTGTTAAAATAATTTTAACAAAACCATTTTGAATTACTTCATGCCACATTTTTAGCTGGGTTTTTATACAGTACATTTGTGCAGTGACCTTGCAAACACTTTGCATATACGTGTATTAATTTTTAAACTGTTCATAAGATGTTAAAATCTGCCTATATAAAGCCCATTAAGAGGTAACATTCAAACTTGTATGCAGGTTTGTATATATTCCAAAAGGGTACAGGGGGGTGGAGGGGGTCCTACAAAGTTCTGCCTTAGACCCTTTCTCTCCATGCTCTACACATTATTCTGCATAATCTCATTCACAGATACACATTCAACTGCCATGTCTTAGTCAACAGCTCTCAGATCTACCCCTCTATTCCAGACCTGTCGTCTTCTGTGCAAACTAAAATCTTGTGTGCATCTCTGACATCCCTTTATGCATGACTAGCCATCTAGTCATTTGCTCTTACTCTACATTGCTAGCCAATCTCTTAATCCCCTCCACTCTCACCGGTCACCCTATCTCCTTTTCCCCAAATAATGTGGACAGCATCACCAATCTGCCAGTTGTTCATTCCCATAGCATGGGCATCATCTTTCATTCAGCCCTCTCTATATCTTCACATCCAAGCCCTAAATCTTACCGATTCTTGCTTTTAAGATTCAAGAAGCATAATTTTGTGGACATTTCTTTCAAAGGAAACAAACCCTCTTTGCATATTTTAATAATTTGCTAGTCCTCCAGTTAGCTACTGCTCTGCTATCATTAAGGACATTCAGCAGCAAGCGTGAAACTGAGATTAAATTTGGCTGCCTTTTCATCCCAAGGAGGCAGCACCAATTTAGGAGATATATATTTTGCATGATTCATTTGCTCTGTTGCTTTAATTCTTACGGATTTTTTTTTTATCCAGAGATTGGGGGGGAGGAAACCCTCGTATGTTTTAAAATCAGTTATTGTTTAGAAATGAGTCATTTTCTGAAGGGAAAAATAATCTGAAGAATCTGATATTAAATAATGATCTTTAGTGTTTCTCTGTGATGAGCCTAGAATATTTACATTATGAATGTCCTATCTTCTCCTCCATACAGAGCTGCAGATTTCGTCAGTCTATAATGGATCGTGTTTAAATTGTTGTTCATCCCAGTTTCTTTTAATTGCTCGTGGGTGTCTGTGCAGTCTCGAATAACACTTGAAATTAATTTCTCACAGCACATAATGCAAAGGGGAAAAAATCACTTGACCCTTTTTGAAATGACAGGTCACTGGTTTCTGTCTGGAGACCTAGTTGCTTTAATGAACTAGGGAAAAAAATGAAAAACAAAGCTTAGGTAGAAACATGAGGTAGGCTGTGGTCAGGGAGGAAATGAGCTTTACTTGATGCTGTCCCTTGAAGGTGCATTAATTTATTACAAGATGCATTTTTGCATTTTTTTTCCAAATGTGTTGGTGCTGTTTTCTTCCCAGTGTTAATTCTGGGGGGTGACCATGAAGCTGAGAGAAAGGAAAACAGCTGTCTAGGTGAACCCTTTGCTTATCTTTTCCTGTTGAATGAGTGATGTTCATCCATCCAGGAAGAGCACACACCAACTGCTGCAGCTTCCTGAGCCTGACGAAGGGTTTTTGAACCCGAAAGCTTGCTTAATAACTATTCTCCAACCATTTGGGTTGGTCTAATAAAAGATATCAAATTCACCCAAGGAACCTTGTCTGATGTTAATGGTGACATTTTCCAAAATGAGAAGGCTACAATACTGCATTACTTAATTCTGTGCATGTAGGGTTCATAATTGCTTGTATAGATCAATTAGTAAACATGCAGACAGGCTTCTAACTAACTTTTTCTGTGCCTAAAATGTACTCATTGTAGGCAGTTTAGGGGAGACTTTTGTGCTGTTTTTTCTCTTTGCTTGTGAGCCACAACTGCAGCTTTTCAGAAATACTTTTGTGTGTCCTTTGAGAACATGGTGGTAGCAGCAGGTGAAGTGCATAGAAATGGTGTCACAAATAATGGGGCAGGCATTTTCCTGGCTTCAATGAGAAATGATTAAATGACTTTCAGGCCATTGTTGTTGTCCGTAGGGACTTCATAAAGGATAAAGGGAGTAGATAGATTCCCAGGTGATAAATGTGTCACGAGTGTTGCCTTTGGCATTTGACAGCTATTTTTCAAGCAATAGTTAGGGGGAGAAATCCTCCCACCTTTGTGTGAAGACTGGAGCTTAGAGCTTTCTCTTTGGCTTGCTGCAACTGATGCTGCTAGTACTATGTTAGGGTATGTGCATTGCGTTCATAGGAGAGAAACCTACTTCCCAAGCTGTGCATTGAACAGACATTTTAATGAGTCTGGAAAGGAGTATGAATTACATGACTTAAACATATTTTTCCCTAGTCTACCAGAGATGTTCCTGGCAGACCAATTTCTGAATCTCTTCGAGTTGTAGAAATGACTGACAAAAAAAAAAAAAAAAAAAAAGACTAATATGCAAGTGCAAAAAAGCTAAAATGTCTTCTGTTTCTGTTCCTTTCTTTTTTCCCCTCCCTCCCCAATAGAGGCTATTGGAAGTTCATCAACTGTGCCAGGAAAAGCTGCTTCATCTGGTACCACCAAGAGATGTATCACGGAGAGGGAGGATAAATCGGAGGCATACAAATCTATTTTTACATCACACAGCTCAGCAAAACGCTCCAAGGAAGAATCTTCCAATTGGATTACTCACACAGCATACTATTTCTGAAACAATACTCTGCATGATTGTAACAGGCAGTTCTGCTTTCCTTCCTTAGGCTTTTTTCTGGAAAACTGATACAGTGTATTCATTTATAATTGGATGTTATTTGGAATTACTCAATTTGCAAGTTGTTTATAACTTTCTGAATAGCCAATACACTTTGCTTCCCTGTAGATACTGTTAGGTAAGAAGAAGATGGCAGTCATCCTTGTCCTAATAAAATCAGGAAGTCTTTGTAAATTCAAAATTCTGCAGGCTCATTCTGTCATCTTCAGTCACAATGACTTGTGTCTTGCTCTTGGTTCCAGTGTAAGTGAAGGGCACAGTTAAAAATACACTTTTCTGTGCTATCAATTTTAGCTGAAACTGTCATTGCACTTTTGTTTGGATTCAGTAAGAAGGCTGAACTTTTTTTGTAACTACCTAACGTTGCTTACAACCAATAAAAGAACAATGAGACTGCTTTTCATACCTTAGCTAATTTAACCCTCATAACCAGCATGTTTTTCCCTTTTCATGGTTCTGTAGAGCACTTTCAGTGTTTGTCCTGGAGTCATATGGCAATCTTAGAAGTAAAGAGAGAGATTTTTTTACAAGAACTGTCTATTCCATTTATCTGAAAAATATAAAGATCTTAGCAAAATGCGTGGATTAGCAGACAAAACGGCCATAGCTTTGGAGTCCTGACCCACCAAAGCAAGTAGGGCAAATCACTATGTCTGTGTATTTGTAAAATGGGATTAAGACCTCCTTTTCTAAAAATGCTTTGGCATCTTCTGATGGAAAAATCTATAAAAGATGGGTATCGTGGCTAGCACCATCTGGTTAAAGCCCATTTATGATTCTAGCACATGAAAATGCAGATCATGGGTCCATACACACATTGAAAGAACAGTGATTCTGGCACAAGGGTTTGGATGGAAGTGCAGACAATCGCAGAGCACTCCTTGGGCCAATTGCTAACACAATCAGTTTTTGAAAATTTGTGTGTGCAAAGTAGATTCTGCAGTTTGGCCCATTTGCTGATTTTCGTATCAAAATCTAAGACTTAAGCAAAATTAAGGAGTTTGCTTTTATGTATTTTAAATGTTTTCTGTGCTGAATAGCAGCTGTTCACAGTGACTGCCTAAGGAAGGTGGGGAGGGGAGGGAGGAATTGGAACTGAAAACTTCAAGGTCTCTTCCCAGCTGTTTTTCTGACAGTGCTAATTTCATTCTTTCAATGCAGTTTAATTGAGGGTAGTTAGACTGTGGAAGAGCAGGCTCTGCATTTCAATGCATATTCTACTTCTTCCTTGGAAGTGTTTGGAGGATTTTTCTATCATAGGACGAATCTCAGAACTCATCCATGGGTGGAAGGGATAAAAAGCTGTGGGCTAAATTTTTGGAGAGTTTCCAAAAAACTTAAATTTGTGAAGGAAAATATTTCCTTTGTATTATAGTGTTATATGTCCAAATGCCATTCACAATCAGGCTTTTGTGCGCGCAAACAGTTGTGCCCACATACTCTAGTATGCTTTGATAAAGACCATTTTAAACCTGGGCCCTGTATTTCTGTCCGTGGAATGATTCTCTTTCCTTATGCATACTGGTTTGCAGTAAGTGAAACGTGCTGCCTTCAAAACAGCTCCATAACCCATGATGCTAGATTCCTAGTCTTAGACTATTAAAACACAATGAACATTTTGGGGGTTTTAAATTGAGGCAAGTCTCAAAACTTATATATAAGGGTGTTTCAGAAAGTAACAGTAATTTTGAAATAAAACCCATTTTGCATGTAGTGATGGTTTACAGGAGCACATTACTTCTCTACGTAGTTGCAAACAATTGGCGCATTCAACAGTGCCGCCATCTGTGTTCCCCCCTGTTGTGTAGTTTTTTCCTATTTTGCCAGACCATACAGTGTGGGCAACCATTTTGTCATTACTTTCTGAAATGCCCTTGGAGATGAGACTGCTACTATGCGGAGCAAGAAATAGCGTCTTGCTCTTATTTTCATTAAGTCTCTCCGTGTAATTTTGTTTGAAGAAAAGTGGTCGATCATGTCATATGACCACAGATATTCATGTTAGCATGCATGGGGCACACTATCCCAATGCTTATGATGTTTGAATTGAGCAGTTGTTAGTTTTATTGTGAGCTTTCCTTAGTCAATAATTCTGTTATGTTATGATTCTCAATTTAGACAGTAATTACCTACATAAAGTGATCAAAGTAAAGTCTGGAAGCTTCCCCTTTTCCCCTCCCCCTCCCTTCACTACACATTTTCACTAGCCTTGGTTCAAACTAAGCAGGATAGAATTACAATAAGTAGGAAGATATTTAAAGCTACTGCACAATATAACGTAGTTACTTTTGTGTGTTAAAATGATTAATTAGTCTTGTAATTTATTTTGAAAAGTGTCTCCATTTGTAATCTGTAATAGTTAATTGGAAATTCAGATGATTTGTTTATGTTTGCACAGGTAGTCTTTCTGATTCATGTGTGTTGAATGCAACTGCTGATATTTTCTTATTATTTTGATAAGCATAATTAAGCAATTGTTTCCACAGTTGGTTTGTCATGGAATTTTACATGGTAAGCATTTTTGTTTTCCAAATATAGGATACAGTCTTGTATTTTTTCACATCAAAACAGTTTGCATTTCAGTTGAGCTTCACTGAATCACTTTGCTACATTTGTCTATGTGCTAGCATGAGCTTTATTCTTCCTGTATTTTTTCTCTTCATTATTATTCTCTTTATTATTTGGTAATGACAGACGATAAGCTCAATGCAGGAAAAGATACACAATGACAGTCACTTCTCTTCTTTTGCAGTCTAATTCTATTTTGAGAGCGTGCACTTAACTCCTACTTTTTATTTTGTTGGGCTGCATTTCTTTTATTTTTGGAACATATACCAGCCCCATGAGATTATAGTTTAGTTCTTATTTTATTTGGTTATTATGTATTGCTTTGCTACCATGTATAAGAATATGAGCATAAATATTTTAGAACTTGGAGTGAGCGATATTGTTTTCTTTCCTTGACCGTTGTTTCTGGATGTTAGTATTAATGCCCTGGCTTTCTTACACGAGTTTAAACCTAAGCTTTTTAAATAGGATCCAGCCTGCTAAGTCATTCCCTGCTCATTTGAGGCATTTTGGTGATCTCCTTTTTGGTTTTTTTTTTTTTTTTTCTCTTGATCATGTATTTCACAATATGCTCATGACTTCCACAATAATTCTGATTTTCATTATATACTAGGCAATTTATGCTGTGCTCTTCTTGCAAATTAGGTTTGTTTTTAGAACGTGGCAGTTTGTTTTAATGTTCTTTCTCAGAGGATTTTCTTTGGTCGTTTACCATCCAAGTTTTGTGGAAGAATTTCTTAAACATTTTTGGTTTGTACAAGCTTTTGTTAGTGTCACTTTATATCTTCCCTTGGGCCCCCCCTTACAAAAATCCACTGTGAAGGAATTTGATATATTACTGGCGCACAGATCGTAATCCATTGCTACAACTGACTTTTGTGTATAGAATTGACTGCTCAACATAAAATACACGAACAAAGCACTGACGTTTTGGTGGTTAGTAGGCTGAGTTAAGCAATTGAGGGTAGACTGTTGACTTAGTGAGATTTCACAGAATCTAGCATATACTTTGCTTTGGGATGCTTGCCTGGTTTTTAAGTGTTTTGCATTTTAATTTGTTTTTAGGTGAGCAAATTTTCATGTTGGTGGAAGTTGAAGGACTGGAGAAGTTTGGGGTCTGAAGTCTTCCCTGTCCTAATGAGAGCTGCAGCATGGGCAATATTAGTGGAGGCGCGTGTGTTGACTGTGTTCTAGGAAGATTGCAAAAGAGTTTTACTTTAATGTACTTCAAACCATGGCCTGAGAAGCACTGAAAGGAGCCAGTTTAGTACCAGTTATGTATTTGAGTTGGGCGTGGTGAGGAGGTGGTGTTGGGGTTGTGACATGAAACCTGTCTACTTGGAATGGGACTGAAATTCTTCACTTGCTTTACATAGACAATAACTGGTTAATTTTGATCACAACTTGCAAGGGCCAAATAAACAGGGAAATGAAATGCTTTACATTCTCTTGACAGACCTCTGAACCATCTAGTCTCTGCAGCGTTCTGTGCTCTGGCGTAGCTTTCGCAACTGTGATAGTTGTACTGGCACAGCTGGAAAATCCAGCATATTTCAATTCTGAATATTCAGGGAAGATCAGCCTAGAATCAGTTTTCAATGAAATTCTACTCGGCTGGTCACACTGAATCATCAACAAAGCTCAGTGAATTCATCTGAAGCACAGCATTGTGAAAAAGATGTTGGTCAGATATTTCTTTTCTCATGTTAATGTCTTATTCGTAGCATGATCGTGTGAACCATGATCACTTTTTCATGGCTTGGCTTGCTTGCCGTATAGCCAAAATACCCGTTACTGTTCGTGTGATTTCTCTTAAGATGCGGAACTTTAGCGATCGTGCCAAACGTTCTCTTAGTAGTTAGAAACAGCTCTTTTGCTTCTTATTATATGTTGCAGTCTGGAAAGGGTATGTTCTACAGTGCATGTAAATTATGGACAAAAAAATTTTTTTTTGTTTGTTTTTTTACAGGGTTTCACAAATATGGAACTGATTACTACTTGATATGAGAGATTTCCTTTTGTAAAATGGAAATGATACACGGTTCCTTCCTGACAGTTAGGACTTATTGTGGTTTGGGTTGGTGTCTGTTTAAACTTGACTTAATTTGAAAATATGCTTGCAGCTCAAAGGGTGAAAACTTGGCCCAGTAAAATCAAATGAGAATTTTGTCATTAACGTCACTGGGTGCGAGTTTCAACCCAAGTATCTATCGATTTTTAAAACACTATTATGGAGGTATTGATATAACTATGGGCTGTGCTGTGCATTTATTTCACTTCAAGTGCAATGAATCTGTCTCCCAGCTCAGTGACTGAACTGAGATTGCAAATGTACTTTGACTTCTGTTTGGTGAAGAGTTTGTTTCACTATGATATTGAGTGAAAGCACTTGGAGAAAATGAAATTTATCCCATGTGGAAAGGTTTCCCAGATTGATTTGCTGCTCTTCAGTCTCTGTACAGGTACATAACTGTAGTCAAACCCTCATGCCCATGCCCTAGTATGTCAGTAGGCCCCAGTGGTCTAATGGACAAGGCTCGAGTTTATGACCACGGAGACAGTGGATTCGGGTCCAATTTAGGATGTAAATGTTTGCTGTTCCTGTTTGCATAATGCACTTTAGCCATACAGAGAAGCCATCCTACATACTACAAGTTGAATGCACAGCTTGCCACGTATTGTTCCTCTTCTAAGAGAAGCCATTGGATGGGTCCAAATCCAACATGTATTTCCAGTATCAAACTGTCATATCAAACCATCATCTACTGCTTAATTTTGCTGCTTAGATCTGCTCCTCCCATAGCTGCTCAACTAGGTCTTCAATCAGTAGGAGGTAGGTTGGGCAGCAAACCAGCCTGGGATACCTGAATTTACATTGGGATATACTGGCTTGGCAGTCCTCTTTGCCCTTGGCCAGGGCTGATCAGATCTGTATTTGTTGCCCCACCAAACAGCCTGCTTTTACCTGACCTGACCTTTACCTCACCTTCCAGCTCAGGTCTTGGATACTGATTAGGGGTTGGCAGTGGAAGTCCAGACTGATCGGGGCCTTGATACTTCTGGAGGTTTTCTCCTTGTCAAGCAGCTTTGCCTGGAAGTCTTATTCTGTCCCTGTCAAACATGAAGAGTCTGGTTTTCAACAGTGACATTAGGTAAATGATTAACAGAACTTGTTTTAGTTGCAAAAAATGCAAAAATTTCCTTTAATATCTATTTTCATTCAGTTGGGTGGGTGGGTGTTGCTTTCAACTCATTGACCGAGCTAAACAAATGCAAACCACTTTATTGCTCAATTATGCTAATGAAACAAACCTGGTAAGATAGATCTTTTAAAAAAAAAAAAAGCTAAATTTGAATTTGTTGAGTCCTATTTCAAGTTATAAAACACCTTGAGTCCTTTTGTGTAAATGGGCCCTCCTAGTAACGTAGCCAAGAAGTTAAAAAGGTAGGGAGCTTCCTAAAGCTTGTTTCATTGTTTTAACTCCTGTTCAAGTTAACATGCACTGTCCAGGCTGACAAGGTGCTAAATTGACACAACAGGGTTAGTAATAATTAAGTTATTTTTCTGTTGGCTGTGGAGAATGGGAACCTAGTGATATTCTTTCCCAAGTACTTGTGAATGGGATGATTAATAGCCCTGACTGAAACCAGGCACAGTGCAGACACATACTCTTCAAGTTGCTTGCCTATGGCTCTGCCAGTGCTTGTGTCCTGGCCTTTGTCTCCCCACTTCATCATTGCTGCAGCCTCTTGCGCACAGCCAATGCCATGAATGCTTCAGGGTAGTGTCACTTATGTGACTGTATTATTTTGCTTGTGTGCATTGCTAATATGCCCCCAACTGTAATGTAAGGGTGTCCCCACAGATGAGACACGACAGACCAATACATTAACTTCAAAATATAAAAATCTAGGTTGTTAACTTGCTTCGCTACTTATTCAAGCTTTTATCTTCAAACTGCTTTATCATAGTTCTCACTGAATCTTAAATGGTAATGTTCTTTTTTACTAGAGATGAAATGACATAGGGGCAAAATATCTCCCATTGTCTTTTGTGAGGTTGTTATACCTCCCTTGAAACATCTTTTGCTGACCACAGTTGCAGCCAGGATACTGGAGTAGCTGAACCTTTGGTCTGATCTAATACAGCAGTATGGTTAAACACAGCCCTTCCTGTCTTTGAATTATGAACAGCAGTAGGCGGACCAAAACAGATAGCATTGGCATGTGCTTCTCTTTATTGTGAGTAATTCTGTCTGCATCTCATCAGATTTGCATGCATTAACGCTAGTCTGTAGGAAGCAGAATCCTTCCTTGCTAATTCTTGTCTGGCACCTAGTCCCACCATTGCTGTCTGCTGAATGGCTAGCTTCATTAATTACTTGCTTTTTTCAAACATACCACTTTGAGGCAGTAGTTTCCTAGGAAGTTTTGGTTGGAGCAGAATCCATGGGGATCAGGGCTGGAGTCAGTGACTGAAGGATCAGAATGGCCTTCTTACTGTGATTGACAACTGCCAGCCTGATATACCTCGTATATGAGCCTAGCAGTCAAGATAAAGTATTCTCATCCAGGGCAAATCTACCCCTGATGTAGCTGTACAAACATCAGTGGAGTTATACCACCAAATTTGACCTGTTGTATTTATGTCAAGCAGTAGGCAGTTGTCAATCCTGAATCCTGGTGTTTATGTCAAGCAACACTACAAAAGAGATGCTTTGAAAGGTAAGATGCGACTGTTACCACTACCTATTCCTGGAATGGGCCCTGCTGAGAATAACAGATTGAAATTAGCACAGGAAAACATCTCAAACTATAACCTGTAAAGCAGTCCCCTGGAGGAAGTGATGGAAGCACTAATCATATGAGTCATTTATGACTCAAAAAGACAGAGCAATACTGGAAGGAGTAACGTGGAGATAAATCATGGGAAGATTCCTCTTTAAGATCCATTACTAGAATGCAGGCCTGTCCAGACCACTTCCAAGATGAACCTGTTTTTGCTTTCCATCCCACTCGCTGAGTGGGCAGCAGACATAGTTTCACTTTTGAAGCACTCAGTATTCATGTATGTCCCTGGGAGAGGAATAAAACCCTTAACTAAGCACCTGTGTTATACTGGTGACAAGTGGACTATCAAGATCCTTATGCAACTAGTTGATTTTGCAGTAAAATATGGGACTCAACCTGCCTCAGGCCATGTGATTTGCCATTTGGTAACTAGTACACTTGTGCTTAAGGAGCCCAACATGGGCTGCACTTTGACCCCAAAGGTGTGACTTCAGATGGGCTGTCACACCACTTATTTGTGTACAAAAATGTATGCAGTTTCTTGAGTGCAACCTGGGCATAGCTTAGTTGTAGGATGC